TTTAAATGCTGGGATTTACTTTTGTAGTTCAGATCATTTGATCTCGAGCGTTCATTATCATTTTAATGTTGTGTTTTTGTTGTGTCGTTGTTCTCCTCTTATATTAGATGCGTTTCCCTCAGTTTTAGTTTGTAACCCGGATTTGTTTTTATCTCTATCTATTTATGAGTTTCGAACAGCGGTATACTACTGTTGCTTTATGAATATGAATAAAACGGAAGATGCGTTAAATATCTGTGACACAGTACCGACATAAAATTCAGAACTGGAGGTAAACATATGGTCTATGACAATGGTAATGTACCTATACAATTTGTCATGCTATGAATCGACTCGAGTCTATAAGAAGTTTGTGAATAAATCAAAAATCTACCACCAACACTAACAATCAGACAAAACATTAAGAAATTACAGAAGACAACTACTGACGTTAACTTGAGATTTCGAGCACGCCAGTCATTTACTTTCAATTCTTTCCAGGCCAAGTTATTTATTTTCATAATCCTCCTGCCACCCCGCCCCAAATTTTTGTACAAATTATCCTATGCAGAGGAAGATATATTTCATGATCAGAACTATAAATTGTTCGAAATAGCAGATAAATGACAACAATGAACCTGTTATATATTTATCGTGGGTTGCAGTGATGACTATTTCATTAGAGTATACATGTTTATTAAAGTACAATCTACACACACAATGATTACATTTGCAATACATCAGTATATATAAAACAAAGAGTAATGTAATGCCATGGGAAAATTACGCCCATAAAACCTAACAGAATACTGAAGCTGTGAACTATGATAAGTCAGGGGCTGATACAGGCGGGGCGATTGATTGAATTGATTGCTCATCAACTGAACTACGGTTTATTTAAGTTCTATAAGTATTATATCCTTCAATTCAAAGGAATGTGTAAAACGCGGTGATGCGTTTGATGACAAGTATAATAGGCTTTTAGCAGTTAAAGTAAAAACAATTGTTACGTTGTATTCACGGTTTTTATAAACAATTTTTTTGATAATCGAAGTTTCAAAACATCCTTCACTCACTTTCCCACGAAGTAGGTGAATGTACCCTACCCGCGGTTGGGTTAGTTACTTAATCATGGCACGGCCAAGAAAACAGTCCAGGTTAGATCCATTCTTAATGAAAGATAGAAATACTGTTTCAAGCGAAAGGTTAGTTTATTAATTTGTATCATTATTTAATATCTCTGTGTCTATATATATTTCTCACTTGCAACCTAAAAATTTTGCCGAAGTATGCATAAACGATCAAGGCCCGACCCGTACTACCGTAAACTTCGTAAAAGCATCTCATTCTGATTTTAGTGGTTTGCGGCGAAAACAGTATATATAAAGTATGGCACGACCTCCAAAAATCAAAAAATTAAAAACTCATTATGAATCCCTTAGGGCGTAAGTTAGGGATATTAGGAGATCGTTGTTGATTTTTCCAAGTTTGTAGGATACCTTGCCATCATACCTCAGAGTCTCTTCGCGGAAACAGGGACATGTTGTTTTACCTCTGTCCGTCCATCCGCCAGTCAGTCACTTGATATTTGTTCCGGAGGATCCGCTAGGAGTCCGGTATTGCGTTTGCACGCATACAAATCTATTACACCATTACTTCATAAATATATGAATGTTACACCAGTTTTCCCATCAGCCATTGACATAACATTCATTTGATTTTTTTTTTATCTGGAGGGTCAGCTTGTGTACTCCGGATTGCGGTCTGTCTCTATTCTACTTGTCTTTGGTCCCGTTTTCTGGTAAATATATGGGGTTAGTCTCAATGAAAAGAAGCTCACAGATTTCTTGTTAATTAATTTATGGTGATTGTAGATTGTTGTCGGGGGTGGATTTAGGCGGTTTAAGCTTGAAACTTTAATTTCTCGCTAATTTTACCACAAAATATTTTCGCTCGGCGAGTTATCTACATTGCACACACTCTTGAAGAATATTTCGATGATTTTACCTAAAATCCTGGATCCGCCCCTGATAAGAGATACGATCAGGTAATAATCTATTGACAGAAACATCCGCTAATCTGATAATTATAAATTCCTAACTGTCAGTATTATTTATAAGCCAATCAAACTATAGTGATAATGTATCATGTAAACATAACAATCTTTCCCCCTTTAATTTAGAAGATCAAGATAAGCAAGATTAATCGCTTGTGAATGAAAGTAGTAAAATCAATTTACACTCAATTAAACTAAACAGCCACACGCTTTACTGTCTATATATTTATAATGTTCAATTATGATATCCTAAACCTACAGTTTATATCACTACACTAATTTAACCACAAATATTTACAGTCATATATTTTCAATAAGTCTCTCTGGTGCTTTTCTTACTCTTTCTGAGCAGCGCGTAATGATAGCGTCATTAGCATTTTCAACTGTTATATTTTCGGTTATTTTAGTTGGTTCGGATTCATTGTTATTTTCAGAGTTTTCGGTATCGCGGTTTGAATTACATGTTGGTACTATAATTAATTCAGTGTCAATATCAGATTTGGTATTTTCAAGTATGTTTGGTATGCCTTTATTTTCCTGCGGTACAAATTCACGAATCTGATCAATATGTCTCTTCCATACTAAATCTCCAACTTGGACTTGATAAGTTACTGGTCCAAGTTTATGAACGATAACTTCTTGTTTCCACTTGTTATTGTCTCTATAGTCTCTAACTAACACAGGTTCTCCTTTTGCGATTTCTCGGCACGGTTTTGTCTTACTTCTCTGTCTCTGCAATCTTTCATTGATATTTATTTTTTTTCAGCGCGTCTAAACGAGTTCGTAATCTTCTTCCCACAAACAGTTCAGCTTGAGTACGCTTTGTAGTACTATGCGGCGTGGTTCTATAACCCAATAGAAATCTACAAAGTTTTTCACTCAAAGTTCCGGATTAGTTTTTTACTGTTTTCATAGCCTGTTTGAATGTTCTAACAGCTCTCTCTGCCTCTCCAGTCGAAGATGGATGATACGGCGCGGATAGAATGTGTTTTACTCCATTCTTTTTCAGGAAGGTCTCAAATTCCATCGATGTAAATTGAGGTCCATTCTCCGACACAATTTCAGAAGGTATTCAATGTGAAGAAAATAAACATCGCAACGAGTTTATTGTCTTTTCTGATGTTGTACTCGACATTCGGATAACATGCCAACGCTGATGGATTATCGATGGATTATCCAGACTGCAGTTGAAAAAAACCCTATGTGAATCGCCGTTTAACATTTTCTGGGAAGAAGTGGAGAAAAGAAATGTACAATCTTTGAACGAACTACCAGTCAGTGCGAATAACGTTAAAAGAGAAACAGAAATAGATTCAACTCTTGTTAAAGTTAAACATGCTACATTGTATGGTTGGCCGAAATACACTGACATTTCGAATGAGTTGAAACCGTATTTTCGTTTTTCGGAAACGATTTTCTGCATTTTCTACTAATATGTCCAATTTCTTTGCACTTGTGACATCTTGAATTCTTATAGAAACAACTGTCTGCATTATGTCCAGATTTTCCGCAGCGGTAGCATTCTGACGATCTCATTACCCCCTTATGGGTAGTTGAAACTTCATTTCTAAATTCATTGGTCTTCTTTTCCGCAGCTTCTATACCAACAGCAATTTCGAAAGTTTTTTTCAAATCCAGTTCACTTTCGGATAATAATTTCCTTTGGATGGATTTGAATACAGTCCACAAACAAGTCTGTCTCTTAACGCTTCCTCGAAAAATGCATTGAATTGACAAGTATCGGCCAGTTTTCTAAGATTTGCTAAATAATCATTCACTTTTTATGGCTTTCCTGTTTGCGTTGATGAAATTTGTATCGTTCTGCAATAATCAACGGTTTATTTCCTAAATGATCCGTTAAAGTTTCTATCAGGTTGTCAAATGTCTTTGTGTTTGCGATGTTTATTTTCTTCACATGGAATACCTACTGAAATTGTTTCTGACAATGGACCTCAATTAAGATCGAGTGAATTTGAGACCTTCCTGAAAAAGAATGGAGTAAAACACATTCTATCCGCGCCTTATCATCCATCTTCGAATGGAGAGGCAGAGAGAGCTGTTAGAATATTCAAACAGACTATGAAAACAGTAAAAAAACGAATCCGGAACTTTGAGTGAAAAACTTTGTAGTACTATGCGGCGTGGTTCTATAGCCCAATAGAAATCTACAAAGTTTTTCACTCCCTTTTCTATGTAAATTATATTGTTCAGTTAATTTGCTTATAAATTTTCACTTTTAGAAAATTTGTATTTACTTGATCCAATATTTTGAAATTGATATATAGTAAGAATTCACTTTAATGGTAAATAAAGGCAACAGTAGTATACCGATGTTCAATAGCCATAAATCGAATAAGCGAAAACAAATCCGGGTCACAAACCAAAACCTAGGGAAACACATCAACTGTAAGAAGATAACAACGGAACAACAGAAACACTGAACTGCAACAAAAACAAACGCCAACATACATAGAAACGGACTATTTGATAACAACTGCCATATTCCTGACTTGGTACAGGACATTTTAAGACAAAAAATGGTGGGTTGAACCTGGTTTTATGGCTATCCAAACCTCCCGCTTATATGGCAATGTTAAAAAAAACGCTAAAATGACAACATTACGTGACAGGAATACATAACAAACAAACACAAGAACACTCAGGACAGAGAAACACATAAATAAATAATATAATATTACATTACAACATGAAAACCACTGAATAACAACGGATACCTCCTATGAATCCACGACAGCACACCAGGACACCACAAACGAATTATAAACTGTGCGTCACCCGAATGTATCAACGCCACAAAAAAGTGACGTATTTTTTGTGACGTTTCTATTATCACAGGTAAATTTCTAAAAATAGAATAGATTTGTTTTATTGTAGACACGTACAAGAATATAAGATTGAGTTTGTAATGGTGTTATTTTATTAATTTTCTATCCATGACAAGAATATTAAAATGGAATCGTGTTTGTAATGGTGTTATCATTTGTATTTTCTAGCAATGACGGTTTTTCTTCTAAATCAAAACTGTATAAACAAAATAATCTTATTTTTGATAATTTTGTTTTAAAGATTTATCGAACTCAAATCATTCCGCTGCACAAATATCGGTATAAGGATTGTCAATAGGAAAGATTACTTCCATTACGTGACAAACAATACATCAAATATTCATATATAATTTCCGAAAACATTTTATGGTATGAATATCTTACTACTAATACCATAAACAGCACGTGCACCCTTCATATTTGTACTTTGCGCGAAAATTGCAATATACATAGGTGAGACTTTGTGAATTCTCGTATGGGTATACGAGCTTATATTACGACATATAACATGCTTCAAAGTAATATATGCTAAATAAAATCATTTTAATTAAAAAAGTGTTTTATGTAAGTTTATCTTTCTGTGGTTAACAGAAGTGTCAGAATTTCTTTGTACACAATGCCATAACATTATCTACCTGAAACAGATGAAAGATTTCAGCACCATTAAACAATGTTATTGTTGTACTATATATATTAAACAAATACTTCAAAGATTTTTTGAATGATATGAATATTTGCAAATCTATATTTTTGCCAGAACATCTATTCTTACCAATATTGCTAACAGTTTACATTTTCATGGATACTATAGTAAAACATATGCATTATTTGATAATATGATGTCAATCTTAATTCAAACAAATGTTCGGAAACAAATGGAGCATATATATATTTTTTTATACTGACAAGATTTTTTTTTAATTTATTTCTTATACGCCCGTCAAAAATTTTGACGGGACGTATTATGGTATACAAATGTCAGGTTTCCGTCCGTCTGTCCGTCTGTCTGTCCGTCTGTCTGTCATTCTGTCCGTCTGTCTGTCCGGCGTAAACATGTCGCACCGTAACTTGAGAATGACTTATCCAAATTTCATGAAACTTAACATAGTTGTTTCTTATGATGGTCAAACGATCTGTATACTTTTTGGTGAAAGTAAGATTAAAACTTTTTGAGTTACGGGACTTAGTAACTAAAACAGGTGTGTGTTTTTTTTTTCACATGTCGCGCCGTATCTCAAAAAAATTTATGATTATTGCTTAAAACTTTACACACTTCTTAGTTATATTAATCTTAAGATCTGTATACTTTTTGGTGATGATTCAAAATTTTATTTTAGAGATATTGAGTATTTTGTTAAAAAAGGGGGAGGGATTTTTCACATGTCGCGCCGTATCTCAAAAACAGTTTATAATTATTGCTTAAATTTTACACACTTCTTAGTTATATTAACCTTAAGATCTGTATACTTTTTGGTGATGATTCAAAATTTTATTTTTGAGTTATTGAGTATTTTGTAAAAAAAAGGGGGTTTTCGCATGTCACGCCGTATGTCAGAAACTATTTATGCTTATTGCATAAAAATTTACACACCAGACGACGGGCGTATCATGCGCTCATGGCGCATCTGTTAATTTAGAATTTAAGAGCTTGGATTGCTTATATGTTTTATTCCTATTTTCTAAATTGTTTTAACTTATCTTTAATTTTTTATATTATTTCTTCCCACATCAAAGCTACATAAAACGTTGTACTCGTACATATTATAATGAATATAATGAAACCTTGTTAAAAAGTTTGACAACTATATTAATTGCTTACGTGATCAACCTTGGTTTTCATTCAATAAACAAAACCTTTCAGTACAGGGGACAGATCCGTCTGCTTCACAGAAACATGTGTTACATTTGTCAGCGCTTGGAAACGAGTCCCCAACTTTATAGGCTTTTCCATGGTATGCGCACTGCCCTCCTGAAAAATAATTTTTACACAAATATTTATAGAAATTCAAAGATGATATACATCTTTATTAATATAAATCAAAGGAGATATGGAGTAAACGTGAATGAGACTGAACCTTAAGAATAATAATAACCAAAAGGCATCTAAGGGCGACACACATTGTTCGACGGTAGACATGTTTGATTTGCGATAATTGAATTGTTAAAACAATTATTACAATATATCAAGCTCTAAATTTTCCCATGTCTACCAAAGGTCATCAGTATACCAAATATGATCTGAAAAGATCATTTTGATCTGAACAGATCCTTAAAGTCTGAACAATTAATTTATTAAGTCATTTTCAGTCTTTTAGTCAATTTCAAGACTTATCCACTACGGCAAATTTAGCACTGTTCAGACAATTAGCTTGCAGTCTATTAAGAAATTAAGAAATGTTCAGTAGTTGTTATTTAACTGTACACATCAACTTCATACTGAATTGTCTGAAAAGCTACTGAACCGTACTGAGTTGACTGCAAGCGAATTGTCTGAATACTAAATCTACCGCAGTGTATGTCTGAAAAGTGACTGAAATACTGAACATGACTAAATTATTTATTGTTCAAACTTTTGAGATAATGTTAAGACCAAAATTACCTATCGATAAAACTAACAAGCATTCACTATTGGTTGTGATAAAAATATAAACAATCAATGATCTGCTGTTAACACCAAACAATTCTCCAAATAATGATTAAAAAAATCATGTGACATACTATTGACGAGAATTATGGCAGGGACAGGCACTTACAAAATGTTGTATGTTTAATTAATTAATACATATATTAACAGAGACAAATGATGTAACAAGCAAAAACCGAGGGAATCTGATGCACCGCAAAAGGGCGAATTCGGTTTGGTTGACTGATAGATGGACTGAAATCTTAGACAATGGAGGAGTATTGCACTCAATCTATATGGTCTCTATGAAGGTCTTTGAATAGTTCCCTCACAAGCGTCTTTTACTAAAACTTAAACAGTATGGTATATGCGATAGAACATGTACTTGGATCCAGAGCTTCCTAACTGAAAGAAAAAAAATTGTAAACATTTTTGGAAATTATTCTAGCTGGCACAACGTAACCAGTGGGATCCCTCAAGAATCACTCCTGGGTCCAATACTATTTGTCATTTTTATCAACTCTTTACCAGAGAGTGTGATATCAGAGGTATTTCTATTTGTCGATGATACTAAGCTGTTCAGAGAGATAAAATCCAAAAATGATGAGAGCCTACTTCAGCATGATTTGAACAATCTGTTCGATTGGAGTGTTGAATGGATACTACGCTTCCATCCTGATAAATGTAAAGTGCTAAAAATCGATGATAAGAGGGAGAAAAAGTCGACATATATAGTTATCAAATAAAAAAAGTATGACGGTGGTATAAGTCATTAGATGTGATAGATATAGAAAATCATATTAGAGTAAACATAGATAGTATCTGGCAATTGATAAACATATACAAATCCAAGTAAATTAGGCAAACCAAGTAGTCGGTATCATCCGCAAAATATTTAAATTGTTAAATTACAAATCATTCTGTCTGTTATTTAATGCGCTGGTTAGACCACATTTAGAATATGCCAGTAGTTTATAAAATCCATATAAAGTAAAAGACATTGAATCTTTAGAGAATATCCAGAGACGAGCAACTAAGATGCTATCATACCTAAATGACAAAAGTTACAAGGAACGACTACAAATATTGAAATTGTCAACATTAAAATTTAGACGGTTGCATCATAAAATTGAGAATGGAAATGGAGAATGTGTCAAAGAGACAACAACCTAACCAAAGAACACAAAACAGCCCAAAGCCATCAATGGGTCTTCAACACTGCGAGAAAATCCCGCACCCGGAGGAGGGCTTCAGCCGGCCCCTAAACAAAAATGTGTACAAGTTCAGTGAAAATGGACGTCACACTAAACTCCGAAACATATAAATGAACTAAAATTAAAAAAAAACATATAAGACTAACAAAAGCTAGAGGCTCCATTCTTGGGACAGGCGCAAAAATGCGGCGGGGTTTAACATGTTTTGTGATATCTCAACCCTCCCCCTTGGCATCTAGACAATATAGAATAAACAAACACACAGCAATACGCACAGTAAAACTCAGTTTTAAAGAAGTCCGAGTCCGCTGTCAGAATAGGTAACAGAAGAAACTAAGCAAATGACAATGATACATAAATTAACAAAGGACTACTAGCAGTTATACTGACATGCCAGTTCCAGACCTCAATTAAACTATTTAAAGATTATGTCTTCATCATATGAAAATCCAGCACAATCCCTCCCGTTAAGGGTTCAGTATCATACCATCATGCAATATATGAAAAGAACATAACCCGTAAAATGCCAATAACTGGTTTTAGAATAAATGTGTTTATTTCCGATGCAAAGACCCTATGACTGAAACCTTCAAAATATAAGCCGAAATACATGACAGTTAAACAACTAACAACCTGTTTACTCCAGTACAACCAGAGGCCATATATTTAAAATCAACAAACAAAGATGCATAATAGATGTGCATAAACACTTCTTTATCAACAGAGTAGTAGACACATGGGACAGCTTGCCAGAACATGTTGTAACAACCACCAAAGTGAAAATATTTGAAAATAGAATAGACAGCAAATTGAAAACATTAGAAAATACAATAGACACCAAAGTGAACACATTCGAAAATAGAATAGACACCAAATTGAAAACATTTGAAAATACAATAGACACCAAAGTGAACACATTTGAAAATAGACTAGACAAATATTGGAAAAATCATCCTATGAAATTAGACTATACGATCGCGTATGGATAACACACAAGAAGAGGAACCGTTAACGATGACACTATGGTAGAAGAAACGATAATGCAAAAACATAACAAAACGTTGCCTACCAGATAAAACCAAATAGGACCTTAAATATAGCCAAATCCGGAAAATAAATCAGCACTTTGCACGAGGGAAATATATTCATTAATTTGAAAGAATTACCTGATTTTATAACAGCAGCAAATTTCAATCAAACAAGCAAATTCGTTTTAAGTTAAACTATTTTTTAAAACTCAAATATCTCCCTTTTTAAATCTCGGTCAATAGATTAACAAAATGTTAAACTTATTAATTGATATTTATCATCCCAAAATACGAGAAACAAATATAAAAACAAACACAGTATAATTATAACTGTTATCAATACAACTCGATATCTTTAACACCATCATGGCATTGGGTTCAAATTGTGATTGGTTTTTTTTTTACTTCATATGTGTCTTATAAAATATTGCATGGTACAGAATAGATTACACACAACATCGTTTCAATTGAATGTAATACATCTTCTCTCATAACGATATCCCCATGTATAATGTCTATATAATGTGAAATGATATTATGTTTTTCGACTTTTTGAAAATAATCTAGAAACAGATTGAAATACAATGGCCCGATGAAAGATACTTTGATTTAGCTCCCCTTCCTTTTTGTAATGTTTATTCTGAAGGTTTTTTCATTGAAATTTCCCGTAATGTCATGTTTTGCTTTAATAAACAACACATTCTCAATTATCTGCTTGATTCTTTTTAGTATAATGGAGAATACATACTAATTGATTTATACGAACCGACTGCACAATTTTTCTCAGTACATGTCATGCGGACCAGAAGATCTCCAGCATGACACGTGCATGTATTACAACCATCTGAGGCTGCCCAGCTTTTGCCAACATTAAACTGCTTTTCTTCATACTTGCAATGGAATCCACGTTGATATACAGATGATCTTTTTCCTGAAGTAGTAAAATGATAATGAATCATTAATTCACAGGAAGTTGTTAACATTGTTGCATGTTAATTGACTGTCATCCAGGAAATCGTGTGTGTTCGTTAGATAGTCGACAGGAATGTAGGAAAGGCGGTTATTATTTTATTTTACTAGTACCTAATGCAGAAACCATCCAAATTTTCGTGTGTATTCGTTAAATTGTCGACATGAATGTAGGATAGGCGGTTATTTTATTTTACTAGTACCTAATGCAGAAACCATTCAAAATTTAACAAATATTGAAACTGGACTCTTTTAAAAACGTATTCAAGACGGGGCTTACAGTTTAGTACGCCAAAAACTCGTCAGTGACAAACTAATTAAAACGGTAGAAAGACTAAATCACTAACGAAATTGTGGGAAAAAACATTAAAAAACCAAATATATCTTAAGTAATTTTCGCAAAATCTTTAAAAGCCAACAACGTCTAGGTAGAAAAAAATAACGTTTTGAAATCTTTTCTCTAAAACTATCAAGAATTCAATAAGTGTAGTTTAAGTGTCCTTTTAAGGGTACTATAATATTTCGTTTTTAAATTCAGCTAGTCATTTATGAGTTTGAATGTCCCTCTGGTATTTTTCGCCTCACTTTTATAAAGACTTAATGTTTGGATTCTACATTTTAAATTTTAAGAATAAGCTTGTACATGCGTAGCATATCTATGACTTTGATCAAATATATTTTTTAGAGTTGATTTCATCAATACAATTGTTGATTGTATATATATATATATCTGGATACTTTTTTTGTGAGTTGTTATTTTCAATGGACTGCACCCTTTTTTGGAAAAAAAATACTCTTTTTAACGTTTTAATAACCTGATGCCTATTTTTTGTCATGTCCGTAGATTGAAAATTTACGTTTTGAATTATGTTAGAACAAGGTTCATGTGATTTTTTCGTATTTTCGAAATCTTATTGAGATTGCAAACCGCCCCCCCCCCCCCCCCCCCCTTTTTCAATAATTCTTGAAAATATCTGTCAGATCTTTGATAGCTTATGATTATTTGTTCCCAATTTGTTTTCGATTTGGGACTATTTGAAACTAGATATTTGTACTAGCTTAAAGACTGTGTGTTGTCAATATTATGTTTTATTTTAGAAAAGAATGGTAAATCAAGAAAAGTTCTTTGGACGTACGAAATTTATAAACTATTATTTTTCATTTACCCAAGTTGATTAAATGTTCTGGGTCAACGGTGAATAAACATGCCATCTCAGTACAGGACACAGAACCGTCTGAATCACACGTACATGTATTACATTTGTCGATGCTTGGAAAGGATTCTCCCATCTTAAATGATTTTCCATTGTACGCACAATCTCCAACTAATATAAAGATTCAAAATATGATATTAATCCAATGAACATTATAAAAGTATTAATCCAATAATGTACTTGATGGAAGGGAACTAGTTAATCCAACAAAATATAAATGTTTAACTCTCTCTCTTTTTCTCTCTCTCTCTCTCTCTCTCTCTCTCTCTCTCTCTCTCTCTCTCTCTCTCAGTGTGTTGCCGACAGGTAGATGGTTGCTCTGTTAAATTTATTCTTTTCTTTTTTTTTTCTTTTTTTTTCAACTTCAGATACTTTATTTCACTAATAGTTGTTAACAAAGCCCCTTAATGTTACAACAATGGCACTAAGGTTCTTCCCTGTATTGTTAATTACCAATAAAACCAGGGGATTTTATTGGCAAACTTTTTTATAAATCTACATAGCATTGCGTGTTAGTTACAATTTACAGATTAATTCTACAAACATATTTATTCTTTTCTTGGTTAGACTTGTGATTTGTGCATCTAGCTTAGCTTTCGTTTTTTTTTTGCTTTGGACGTTACTAATGTGGGTAGGTCCAGATGTGCGATTCGGACTCATTAGGTATTTATTGTGTTGTTTTTATTTTCTATACCCTTGTATTTATATTTTACGTAATTTGTACTTTAGCGGAAAAGTCAGATTTATTTGTGTGTTTGTTTTGATATGTTTAATTCAGTTGTGTTGTATGTTTGTGGTGTATGTTTACACAGTTTCGGCTGCTGGGTCCCATTATTATCACGTTAGCCAAATTATAAAAGATAAAAATGGATATGGATCATATGGTGCATCTATCCATGAAACAAAATCAATACATGCACAGCAGAAAACACAAAGAGCAAAGAAACGGCGCTTTTATTGCTGTTCTTCATTACAAAGCTATGTTTGCCTGGGTTGTTCACTCAATATTGTCAATATAACGGAACAATAAACAACTATCATACAAGTGGCAATTTTAGCTAGATACAAAAAAAACCATCATAGATACAAAACCAGATTTATGGAGAGTTGTCTCATTGGCAATTATACCACATCTTCTTATATCTATTAACCCACTATTTTCTTTTCTGAAAATGGTTGTACCAAGTCATGATTATGACAGTTGTTTCCCATTCGTTACGTTGGTTCATATATATATATATAGGTTTGAACGTTGTTTTCAATTTAGACTTGTTTATATTCTTTCGTTTGGGCTTGTATTATATTTGCCTTCGGGTTTATATGATCCGTTCATCCTATTTTGATTCTTTCAAAATTCAAGAGTCTATCCTAAATTGAGGTAAATTATATGGCCTTCCAAATACCGTTTCGATTCCTAACATCACTGAGGAGACATTAATTGTCGAATTCCGGATATGGTGTACAAATTTTTGCACCTCATGTTTGCGGTTTATCATCTTTTCCGCAAGTTTATTGTCTTCTGTTTTGGTATTAAATTAATGATAAAATCTATTTTGTTACATCTTGTGATCCGTTTATTTGGCAATCGCTAATGGCAGTCATGCATGCAAAACAAATTTCTTGATAGAGGGGTCTAATTACAGTTCAAACAACATTTCCAAAAGACCAAAAAAGTAAAAAGTATATTTTAACAAAACGCATTTGACTAGCAGGTTGAACAACGGATGTTCTTAAACCCTGCTGACTGTCATAGGCGAATGCCAAATAAACGGATCACCAGATGTAACAAAATGGATCTTAAACTATTAATTTAATACCGAACAGAAAACAATAAACTTGCGGAAAAGATGGTATGTCGCAAACAAAAGGTGCAAAAATTAGGACACCATATCCGGTTTTCGACAATTAATGTCTCTTCAGTGATGTTAGGAATATATATTTGAACGTTTTTTTCAATTTAGACTTGTACATATATATATATATATATATATATATATATATATCGTTCCGCTTTAATTTGTGGTAGAATCTATTTCTCTAATGATTCTTAGACGCAATGCAGACAAACTTAATTCTTCTTTTCCATTGTCTGCAAAAAGTTGTGTTTTCTATGTTACGTCATCAGGCATGGTAGCCTTTTTTCGTGACGTCACAATAGGAAATTCAGAGGAAAGCAAAAAAAAAATTGACGTCATAATTGAATTTCGGCCAGTAAAGAACTGAGATCAAAAGAGCCACTCGCTGATATGATTAAGATAATCAAAAGTTCAGGAAAAGGATAAATCGGCTATGAACTACTGAAATTGATCTGAATTGGTTTTTTGATATTTATTTTCTTGAACGGAATTTAGAAATAGATATGATACACAAAGCACCGATGAAAGATACTTCGATTTAGTTTTCCTTTTCATTATAATGTTTATTCTAAAACTGTTTTATAGATGTTCAAGATTTCATGTACTGCGTTGAAGAACATTTAGGTGTCAATTAGATGCTTGATTCTTTTGAGTATGATGCATGATATCTACCGAAATTAATAGTTTCTAAGCTGTATTTTTGAAGTGTTCTAATTGATCTATACAAACCGAATGCACAAGTTTTCTCAGTACATGTCCTGCGAACTAGAATATCTCCAGCATTACATGTGCATGTATTACAACCATCTGAGGCTGTCCAGCTTTCGCCAACATTAAATTGCTTTCCTTCATACTGGCAATGGAATCCACGTTGATATACAGATGATCTTTTTCCTTAAAGTAATAGATCGATAATGAAACACAATTCACCCTGAAGTTGATAACATTGTTACATGTTATTTGAGTGTTATCGAGAAAACCATATGTATTCTTTTGAACATTGTCGACAGGAATGTAGGAAAGACGGTTATTTTATTATACGAATACCTTATGGAGAAACCATTCAAGATTATAAAAAATTGAAACAAGACTCTTTTTCAAACGCATTCAAGACCAGACTTAAAGTTTAATATGTCAAACTCGAGTTTTGTTAAGGTCAGTGACAATCTATATAAAATGTAAGGAAGGCTAACTAACAACTAACTAAATTGTTGAAAAGATCATTGAGAAACCAAAATTTTTAAAATAGTTTTTGCAAAAATCTTTTAGGCTGGTAAGAAAGAATTAGCGGTTTGAGGTCTTTTTCTCTGAAACTACAAAAATTCAATGAGTGTAATTTATGTGTCCTTAAAAGAGTCCATTTATTTCGTTAGTAAATGCTATTTCAACCTTATGTTTGGATTCTACATTTTAATTTTTAAGGTGGTACCTAACACTACAGGGAGATAACTCTGTAAAAATCAATTAAACGTTTTAATTACGTTGTATTGTTAAGGAAATATTAAGCTTCTCAGTGATCAAAATTAGTGTTTGTCAAACTGCTATATAACCAGTGAAATTTTTCTGATAAAGTGGTTGGTTCAAATTTTTTGAAATTTTTATATTTCTGTCAAAGGGTCAAAGTAAACATTTTGTCAAAATTTTATGAAAATTAAACGAGCCAACTTAATATTAGTCAAGGTGTTGGGTACCACCTTAAGATGAAGCTAGTGCATGTGCAGAATATTTATTGATTTGATCAAACACATTATTAGAATTGATTTCATAAAAAAGTTATTACCTCTATAGGCATAACCGGATACTTTTTTGTCTTTTGTTTTTGTTTTCCCTTATTTACATGCGATTCTAGTTGATTTGTTACTGTTTTATACCCGTATTTATTGGTATCATAATATATATTTTTAATGGACAACACCGATTTTGGAAAAAAACCTCTTTCAAACCAGGTTTAATCCACCATCTTCTGTATAAGGAAATGCCTGTACCAAGTCAGGAATAAAACAGTTGTTTTCTATTCGTTTGATGTGTTTTAGTTTTTGATTTTGCAATTTGAAATAGGACTTTCCGTTTTGAAATTTCTTTATAGTTATTTTTGTTATTTGACTTTTCACTTTTTTAGTAACCTGGTGCCTATTTTCTGTCATGTCTGTAGATTGAAACTTTGCGTTTTGAATTATGATAGAACAAGGTTCATGTGATGTTTCAAATTTTTAAAATCTCATTGAGATAGCCCCTTTTCTTTGAACAAGTGTTGAAATATTTTTTGACCACATCTATCAGATTTTTGACAGTTTATGTTTGTTTATTCCTAATTGTTTTAGATTCGGGACGATTTTGAGCTTGATATATAATATAGACAAATTTACTATATTGAAGACTGTATGATGTCAATATGTTTTTGTTACTCTCACCTAATGGTAAATCAAGAAAAGCTCTTCGAACGCACGAAACTTATAAACTATTATTTTTCATTTACCCAAGTTGATTAAATGTTCTGGGTCAACGGTGAATAAACATGCCATCTCAGTGCATGACACAGAACTGTGAGAACCACACGTGCATGTATTACATTTGTCGATGCTTGGAAAGGATTCTCCCATCTTATATGATTTTCCACTGTACGCACAATCTCCAACTAAGATAAGGATTAAAAATCTAATGTTAGTCAGATGAACGAGATAAAGGGAACTAGTTAACAGAACGAAATTTAAATGTTTAACTCTCTCTCTCTCTCTGTTGTCGACTGCTAATTGGGTAGGTTTTGTTAAATTTATTTTATTCTTGTCTAGACTTGGGACTTGTGCACTAAACTTTTCGGCTTTCCGGATTTTGGCTTTGGACGTTCCTGGACGGTCCAGAGGTGCGATTTGGACGGATCAAGATGTTATAGTGTTGGTTTCAATTTGTATACCTTTGTATTTATATTTTACTTAATATGTACTCGATCGGGTAAGTGTATATGTCATTATGTTTTACTATACTGTATGTGCTAGCAACTACCAAAAAAAAACTTTTTTGCGTATTCGTCAGACTTTATGTATGTTTGTTTTGATTTTTTAATTCAGTTGTGTTGTATGTCTGTGGTATAAGCTTAAACAGTTTTAGCTGCTGGATCCCAATTATTGCCACGTAAACCAATTGTGATTGCTTGGGATGCTCACCAAATTTGTCAATATAATAGAGCTATAAACAACTGACTTGCAAGTGGGAATTTTAGTTATCTATAAAACAAGGTTTAATTCACAATTTATTCTGAAAATGCCTGTACTAAGTCAGGAATATGTTTTCCATTCGTTCCATTGGTTGAAAGAGTCAAGCGTTTGATTTTGTCAGGTTTTATTGAATCCCTCCTTTTTGAATGTACCTTTGAGTTCGGTATTTTTGTTACTACTATTTATATCATGTCAAATAGGTTAGGCGCTTGTCCATGGTTGTAGACCGCGTAATGTCCTCCTAATGCCTGTTTTTGGTTACTATGTGTTGCAGGATGGCTGTCTCGTTGACCACGTTTTATCATAGAATACGTTCTTTACACAAATATATATCAACATTCTTTACTGAGATAAGGATCTATATGTAAAAGTTGTAATAGACGTTGAAGATTCCATTACTGGTTATAATAACCTTGAAGGTTTAAAAAATATCATGTAGTTAGATTGTAATTGTGATATATAATTGAGAAAAGTTCAGATGTCTGAGAAATGAACTTTCATGCAAAATCGTTGTAAAACCATAATGTTATTTCTGATAAAACTGATTGAGTAAAAAAAATAAGCATAAAGGTGAGTCCAATTCTATTGACCAATTTTGTAATATATAAAAGATACAGCTTCAAAAAATCAATTTACCATCACTGGTTTTTAGGGAAAAGTATTATAAAATTGTCGTAACAAGAGTAAACGTGCTCAAGGAAGAAGGAGAATTAAATATAAAAAAACATTTTATAGCTCGGACAATAGGTCGTCTTTTATCAGTTAGCTCAAATAGTAATCTTTTTCTCTTGAATAAACTTATCATAGATACCAGGATTAAAGTTGTGTACGCCAGCCGCGCGTTTCGTATTCATAAGACTCATTAGTGACACTCGAATAAAAAGTTAAAGATGCCAAATGAAGTATGCAGTTGAAGAGCATTGAGGAACCAAACTTCCGAAAGGTTTTTCCAAATACAGCTAAGTTAATCTATTCCTGGGTCTGAAAATCCTTAGTATTTCGAAAAATGCGTGTACACAGCTAATTTATAATTATGACCATATCAAATGATAATCAATGTCAACACAGAAGTACCGACTATTGGGCTGGTGATACCCTCGGAGAAGAAACCTCCACCAGCATCGATCAAGTGATTATAAATAAACTTATCATAGATACCAGGATTAAAATTTTGTATGCCAGACGCGCGTTCCGTCTTCAAAAGACTCATTAGTGACGCTCAAATGAAAAAAAGTTAAAAAGGCAAAATAAGGTACAAAGTTGAAGAGCATTGAAGACCCCAAATTCCGAAAGGTTTATCAAATACAACCAAGTTAATCTGAAAGTCCTTAGTATTTCGAAAAAAACGTGCTAACAGCTAATTTATAATTCATTTCAACACCGAAGTGCGGATTACTGGTCTGGTGATATCTCGGGGAGTAAACCTCCTCCAGCAGTAGCATCGAAAGGATGTACTTTCAACGAACCATTTATTTGAATTATTCAAATTGTGATTAATTGAAAACACAAAAACCATAACGAACATTGATTGTTTTTCATTTTCTCCATACCAGAAAGAATAGCATGTAAATCAAAACGTTATTTACCACTATCACAATCATTTTCTGAACAAGTCATTCTAACAACTAGTTTTCCGGACTGACAGGAACAGGTATTACATCCATCTGTAGCTGGCCAACTTTCTCCAACATTGAATTGTTTACCATTATAGTTACAATTAAACCCAATCTGGTAAACTGAAGACCTGACATGTTCTACAACCATAACAACATTTTAATACGACCAGTGACTAATGTATTTTGTTATATTCTGTTATACTTTATAACTTTTGTAATCATTGCCTTTCTTCCCATTAAGCATTATTTGTTGCTTTCCTACCAACATTTTCCAATTCAAAAATTCTAAATATTGAGTCATTGCTGTAGTTTAAAGGTTGTAGTACGTATTTCACGCTTTGTATCATAATATTGAACAAATGTTTCTTATTATTTTGGCAAGCTGTTGGATATCTCTCTTATTGGCAATAATACCACATCTCCTCTTATTTTCATATTTTATCGTATATATGCAGACTGTTTGACTTCTTACGTTATTGATTCAAATACGGTTCCTTCGACTGTTTTCAAAATTATATGAAATATTTACTGATTACAACATATGCCACATGTGGAGCAGGAATTGCTTACCCTTCCGGAGCACTCGACTCCTCCATCCCCCCCCCACCCCCGATTTTTTTTGCGGATTTGTTCTGCTCATTCTTAAGTTTTCTATCTGATGTTTTGTTATTTTTGTCTGTCCTTTCAACGTTTTTATTTTTGGCCATGGTAATGTCTGTCTTTTTTTAATGCTCCCTTTGGATCTTCTCTCGCTTTTGTATTATAATGAATGATTTGTTATGTAATTATTTGAAAAAAAGTATTTAGAAATTTTAACAAAATTGACAATACCACCTACCTTATTATTGAAAAAATGCTACCCTATAATTTGTAATTTCAACATAAGATACCTACTTGCTTGCTGCACAGTTGGATGTAAAACAGCACAGAACATTTCAGTACAAGACACACCATTTGATGTGCAATGACACGTGTTACAGCCGTCGGTAGAATTAAACGAATCTCCGACATTATAAATTGTTCTGTGGTAGTTGCACGTACCTGTAAGTATCAATAGTTTTATAGATTATATACATGAATAAGGAAACGACCATTCGATATTCTGGGGTTAGGGTAGGGCAGGATGTTTTTTGAAGATTAAATATTTATTTTCATGTGTTGCTACGAACGCTTTATTTGTTTCCACATTTGAAAACAATTATTTCCTGCATTTTGAGTTGCAGAATATTCATTTTAATCCCGTTTTGGTCAAGATTAGTTAGTTTTAGTTCTTACACGGATATTCATTTTCAAAACCTCCTCCCCAAGAAATCAAATGGGCGTCCTCTTACTTATAATTGATTGAAATGCAAATGACAAATAGACGATCAGAATTTTGTTGATGTTGAATAACATCAGTATTAGTATATCTGACGTTTACACGTTGTGGTCAACACAGTAAACACATTAAGAACGAAAGTTTTCTTAAATATGTATTTTTGACCTGTTGTTAGTTAGTATTTTTGCTTCGTGCTGATCTGATGGGTTAAGCCCTTTGCAACATATATTTTTACAGTTTGTTCTTATGTTTATTTTTATCAAACCAATGTCGATGGTTAAGAGAAGGTTGAGCGCAAACATGTTTAATGTCGCCATATTCTATTTAGGTCTGTCCCAAGTAAGGAGCCTTCAACTTTAGTGATATTCGTTGGTTGCTGTCTCTCATATTTGTTTTTCTTTTGCCTATTGTTTTATAATAAATCAATACGCTGGTTTTCTCGGTTAAATTGTTTTATATTATGTCGGGGCCTTTTATAGCCTACTATACGGTATGGGATTCACACATTTTTGAAGACCCTACTTTGACCTAAAGTTGCTTACTTTCATTTCATGTGGTATTTGGCGGATAATTGTCTCATTAAAATCATTATTCTTATTATTCATATATCATGTATATAGAATTCGTAAAATTCAAATAAATGCATTTATATATAACGAAATGATTTAACTGTATTTTACCAGCAGACGGTTTGATACAAGCCATTTCCGTACATGCCACACCGTGTTCCATACACAAACACGTATTACATCCGTCAATGGCATCAAAACGTGTTCCCAAATGGTGTATGGTTCCATGGTAGGTGCATGTTGCTGAAAAATACAATTTCACGATTTTATATTATAACAATCAACTTCATAGTGTTTACCAAGTATTGCCATTAACTCAGAGTGGTGAATCAAAATAATGGTTACGGATATCAAGTAAATCTTCATATATGAGATGTATGGACTGATCCGTATGATTGAGACTACAATATATGTTTTTTCAATCATGGGTTTGCCACTTAATACATAATTTACCAAATTGCAGTTTGTAACATCTTATCAAGCCAAGCAATTATAATCTGTTTATGTATACCTTTAGATGTCTTTTGGTTTTTGTTGTATTGTTTTGCCCTTTCAGTGAAGAGTACCCCATAACTCAATATAATCCCCGACCGTCAAAGTGAAAACTTGCTTAAATAGTGAACTATTTCGATGAAATGCTTCGCAGTATACTACTGTTGCCTTTTTTTATGATAGTTAGTCATCATTGAACCATTTAGTTTAGGGTGTATTGGAAAAGGAGGTTAAATTAATCTTTTCTCACCAGCCACTTGACAATGATGATTTGTACAGTGTACTCCAGTATCTGTACAGGAACATAAATTACACCCATCACTTGCAGTCCATGTTGCGCCAATATAATAGGTATGTTGGTTTAAATGGCATTCGTGCTTGCCTAATGAAATAAAAAGCCATAAAATTTAATGCATTGTCAATCACTGTGACTATTACTAAACAAGAAAATGGTATTTTATCGGAAATATCTCAGATTTGGATTGTTATACATTACGGAATTATCAATGAAAATAACACTTTTATCAATTTCGTGCGTCCGATGCGCTTTTTTGAAACCACCTTCATGAGGAACACTCAACCCAAACATTTGATGCTTGATTTCTTTGGTGGGGTTCGTGTTGCTCAACTTTTAGTGTTCTATGTTGTGTTTTGCAGACGTTAGCTTGTTTGTCTTTTCGTAGTTTTTCGTTTTGGTCATGGCGTTTTTAGTTTGTCTTCGTTTATGAGTTTGGATATCTCTTTGGTATCTTCCGCCTCTCTTTCATATATACTGAAAACTGCATAACAAAAAAAGGACCCACTATATAGATATATACTACCATCGCCTAAGAGCATTTACACCTATTTCAATAAAGCCAGAACACTTCACGAGATACAACATGATAAATATTATCTACGAGGCTGTTTATGACATTCAAGGTATAAACATTTAGTAATATGAACTACTATGTAAATTTGAATTGATAGGGATAAGAAAATACTTAGCTTATTTACAACTATGAATTTAATAAATATTCCATGTGCATTTGGTACCTGAGTTGCACTTCTTTTTATAAATATTGTATATTTACTGTTTTCAGTTGGGCATGGGTTTGACGTGCAATGGACACCAGTCAGGGAACAAGAACATGTATTACATCCATCCAGTGTAGCCCATGTTGCTCCTATGGCATAGTGGTGATGTTGATAGCTGCAGTGAGCTTTACCTAAGGATAGTGAATAGAAATGTTTCTCAATTTTATTCAATCCTTTTCAAAGGAGATTTATTTGAAATAAAAAGAAATTGGAATATTGATTTTTAAAATCCAGTATAAATCAGATTTCCAATATCTACTTAGAGAAATTGAGTTCTGATTTGTACCAGGAGAATTCTGGATCCTACTGAATTCCGATTTGCACTGTAACATACACGTTTGATTTCACAAAAGACTTTTTAACATCAATGATAATCGTTTGGTTTTCGAAAAGACTTATATCGAGCCACTTTATAGTTTATAATGGTTAAATGCGATTGTCAGACCAAAATTTATAGATTTATGTAATTTGTTTTCTTTTATTTTCATTTTTCACATAATGATATTTTCTTCTTTCAAAGCAAAAAATTAAAAAAAAAACAGGGAAAAAAGCCATAAATATGCAAGATTGCGTGAACAAAATGTAACACCTTTCAAATGATTAAGACAAATCAATCTAATTTATATTACTATATGATCCTACTTGCCACCTTCTATTTAGTTGTTTACTGAGCGATATCAAATATTAAGTTATTTTTTTCACAGAAGATAGTTTTCGTTGTAAAATTGTGCAGAAATATAATATGCAAAATCATACTAACTAGACAATATACGAGAGATGACAGTATATGTTCTTATATTTTGATGCGTCCGTCTTATCAGTTTGGTGGAAATGTTGATCCGCTTTAACTTAAGTATTTTAACATACATTAAAGTCTTAGTTTCTAGTTCCTTTCAAAGAGATTTTGAATATATTTGTCTTACCGTGTACATAGTATAGAGACACTAGAATTAATGCAAATATTGTCAGCATATTTCTGAACTCTTTGTACTCAGGGACAGATATTGTATATGATATGAACGTTCAATGTCTTTATCAGTCACATGTTGTGACACATGTCTTCTTGGTTTATAAATATTTGAAAACAAAGGCTATCTAATTTACAATTCATCGTTTCAAAGACTAAACATATTCTGTGGTTAATTTTTAATGCCATTTGTTTCGTTTATGCCGTTGTCTTCAATAAAGTTCAGTGATATATAGAGTTTAAATATTGTGTAAAGGAATTTGACAATGACCGCTGAAAACTTTCGTTACAAGAAAAAGAATATTTCTTTATAAAATTTCAAAATCATTTTAAAGATGTATTCAGTTTTATCCTTGAATGTATATATTAACTTTTGCATTTATATATACAGTTTTGGATGTATAAGTACAAACTTAAGCCTTCAGTAATGAGGTTTGTTTAGGCCGTTCAGAATCCGGATTAAAAGTTAAAATTTCCTGTGCACTATAAATAAATAAATAACACACTTTTAAAACTTTTTATGCCCCCGCTGTCGGCAAAGGGGACGTTAAGCGTTACCTTTGACCTTCCTTCCGTTCGTCTTTCTGTTAATCTTTTCGTCCGTCCGTCCCATATTTGTTTCCGCACTCTTACTAAAGTTTGACTCATCCAAATTTTATGAAATTCATACACAATGCTAAAATCACAAACATAGTTTGAATTTGGGTTGTGAGTAATTTACTGTTTTGGAGTTTTTAACTTGAAAATTGCAAAGCTTGAGCAGGGGCCTCCTCAGACACATTCTGCTTTTATTTGAAAGTTATTTGATATAAATGATTTGTTTTTTAGTTTCAGCACGAAAATATAATAACGGTAACTGATATAAGGTAGTAAGAAATATCATAACAAGTGAGATTGGATATCGCTTACTTGTAATATTAACTCGAATTATTTGATTTCAATACAATAATAAACAAGTCTCAAGCGATATCCAACTATCATGAGTTTTTCTCTGATAATAAAAGTTATCTTTGTCTTGGTGAAACATTTTCGATTTCATGGTGTTGTCAGTTTTTTTTCAACTTACAAATTTGAATGTCCCTTTGGTATCTTTCGCCTCTCTTTTACTTCACATTTATAAGACGACTTACGGTATTGATAATATTGTGACAGGAACAGCGACAATAATTATTTCAGAGATCTTTCTGAGCATCATTTCACATTACCAACTAGACAGAACACCTTTCTAATCGTTCTTGAAATTGATTAGCTGATGAAAGTTGCTAATAAATAAATAATGATTTGTTAATTGCACACGGCAATCTTACCTTCGCTTAGTTTTTCAGATTACCGTATTTGTCCTATTAGAATCGAAAAAATTCATGCAAACCATGGATTTGTTATCATTTTCACATAGCCTGGGCCTTTATATTCGTTAATTTAATCCCTCACTAACGCTCGAGATAAAATTCGAATATAACGGCCCAGGCCATGTGAAAATTTCCAACAAATCTATGGCTTGCCTGAATTATTTCTTAAATACACCATGGGCCAATCAAAAGCCAAAAGTCCAATAAAAACAGAAAAGACTGTAGATAAAAGAAAAACGACAAAAAGTCAAACAACTATACCACACCGTATCATAGTCAAAGCGAGTGAAAGCATTGTTTTTAATTAAAAATATAAAGATATAGCCCATCATTTGAAACGAAATACGTTTCCAAAGTCAGATTGCATAAACAGACATTTATGCTCTAACTGTTGGAACCACTATCCCGTCCCCTTTTTCTCGATTTTGACATTATCGAATGAACGTTATCACAAAAAGGAGGCTCATCGCCGAATTTGTACTTAACATGAGCTAAATTTAGGTGGCACTGTGATATCTGAATATCCTTCCAAAGTAGTTTAAAGCACCCAAAGTTTTGTTTTTGTAGCTCAGTTTATTAGTTTTCTATGGTGTATTTTGTGAACTTGTTTGTCTTTTCGTCGTCTTTCGATTATTGTGTTTTCGCCGTCAATTCTTCCGACATGAGTTTTAAACGTCCACATGGTGTGTTCTGCCTCTTTTGGTTTTTGTCGAGCCTGCGACTTTTGTCGCAGAAAGCTCGACATAGGGATAGTGATCCGGCGGCGGCGGCGGCGTTAGCTAACTTCTTAAAAGCTTTATATTTTAGAAGGTGGGAGACCTGGATGCTTCATACTTTGTATATAGATGCCTCATGTTACGAAGTTTCCGTTAGTCACATGTCCAATGTCCTTGACCTCATTTTCATGGTTCAGTGACTACTTGAAAAAAAAGTTCAGATTTTTTGGAATGTTAAATTCTCTCTTATTATCAGTAATAGGATAACTATATTTGGTATGTACGTACCTTACAAGGTCCTCATGCCCGTCAGATAGTTTTCACTTGACCTCGACCTCATTTCATGGATCAGTGAACAAGGTTAAGTTTTCGTGGTCAAGTCCATATATGAGATACTATAAGCAGTAGGTCTACTATATTTGGTGTATGTAATGATAGTAAGGTGTACATGTCCAACTGGCAAGTGTCATCTGACCTTGACCTCATTTTCATGGTTCAGTGTTCATAGTTTAGTTTTTGTGTTTTGGTCTGTTTTTCTAATACTGTATGCAATAGGTCAACTGTATTTGGTGTATGGAAATATTGTACGATGTTTATGTCAGTCTGGCAAGTTTTATTTGACCTTGACCT